CTGAATTCCGGCTACGATTTGGTATAACGGGGATTAGAATGCCGGAAAAAGTCGTGGAAAAAACATAAAAACAATCTATCGATGCATAAACAGGCGTAAAAAAGTGTCTGTGGACTCAAATGAGTTATACAGAAAGATACATTGGAGTCCGCTCTTTCCAACTATGCAACTCCGAACTCGATAACCTTAGCCAATCAAAAGTTATTCAAAAAATGGCCACGTCCATTTAACTCTGAAATGCACATTAGTCTTTCTGACAACTTTCATCTGAATGCGATATTGATGAATAAATCACTCTTCTTTCTACAATTAAAATGAAACTCAACATTCGACTGAACCAAACATGATCTTCAAATCTCAACAAGAAGATCTTATCATCGCATCATTCCCTTAGAAACAGAAATATATATTTTAATTACCAGATTTTAATATTGGATAACTTTATAGTCGCATTTCTCGAACAAATAATTATGGCATAAAGCCATCGTTTAGTTAACTGAATGTATTCCGTCGTAGAGCTATTTTGTCAAAATTCAAACGAGTCTCAATGTCATTCTCTTTCAAACGTTAATTTTACTCAGTATGCATTTAAATGTTCTGTTTCCTTGCCACCATTCATCATTCACAAGTGAATATTATGTCGTATGGCATTCACCATGATTACTTGTTAATGGAAATAGAAGTAACGAACACTTGATACTTGTATTTCGCATCGCATACAAAATGCATTCAAATAAAATGAAAAAGAAAGAAAACGAGTTCTGTACAGTTGTGCAAAAGACACTGACGGTAAATTGAAAGAAAGCAAACAACCGTTTAAAAACAACAATAGAGTTTGAAGAGTAGTGAAGAAGGTAAGAAAGACGATTGAAGCTGCAATGGTTGATTATTTACTATTACCCATTTCAAAATAGAAAAAGAGTAGCCATTTTTTAATAACTTATGATAAGTGCGCGATAAACAGAATCGGTTCGTTGCGTTAGAAAGCTTTGAGATTGTGCTCTCCAACTGTATATCTTGTTAGTTTTTGGTGGCTTTTCTTA